AGGACAGTGAGGACATAAGGACATGAGACAGTGAGGACATGAGGACAGTGAGGACATAAGGACATGAGACAGTGAGGACATAAGGACAGTGAGGACATAAGGACATGAGACAGTGAGGACATGAGGACAGTGAGGACATAAGGACATGAGACAGTGAGGACATGACAGGGATGCAAACAGCAAATGGGCGGTCCGGGGGCATGCTCTCTCGTGAAGAAATTTTTTGAAATATCAGCTTTAAAGGGTGCATTTATAGTCAGTTTCAGCATCAGACCTACAGATAGTAAGGAAGCAGTGCTGACAAGAGAAACTTCTATTCTAAGACATCTAAGGGGCCTACTCAATAAGAGACAGAGGTTAAGTTGTAAATTGTGTCCTCAAATGTACAATGTCCTCTTCCTCAATACTGAAAAAAAAACATCCCCAGTCTGCCTAGTGAGGTCATACCGGCCCAATATTTCAATTAGCAAATAGGCCTACAGGCCTGCCTCCAATATTGGCAGGGGAAAATTGGAAAACTGAAGTGCCACAAGGGGGCGACATTTACATTGACATTGATCCTGCAACGTTTCCTGTATCATGATAATTCATTGCACTTTCCAAAAGATAAAATATATTGGTAGTTGGTGGATCTTTCTTTAACTTTGAACAGCATGGTAATGTATTTAACAAGAAAAACTTTTTTGTGTTAAACAATGTTTTTACCTCAGATGATCTCGACATCAGTCATTTCAGTCATCAAATTGTTTCAGCTGCGTCATCGCGCGGCTCTATTGAAGCCGTGGATGCCTTACCAATGGCCAATCATAGCGTTTAAATGATACACATGATCAGCACATGATGTGCCCTCGCAGATGCTGCTGACAGTTGTTTTTTTTCAGTTGTAGATTTGTTTTGCTCAGTGCATTTCACTCATACGAGTGTGGTTCATTCTCACTACCACGATGCGGAAAAGCGGGACGGACTTGCGGAATATTCGCGCAGCGCTTTTCCGCGCTCAAACCATACACACAGGCGTGGTACGGACACGGTGCGGAATTTCGTGTTGTTGTCTTCCAAGTCCGTGCTGCGTGAACGGGTGTGGGTGAACATGGACGAGAGTAGCAGCAGCAGCAGCAGCAGCGAGCTAGCAAGCTAACGTTTAACAAGCGTCAACATCAACTTTCTTTAGCACTTTCCACTCTCACCGCAGCCACCAAGCTGGACAATGGACTGCCAGACGTTGTCCTTTAATTAATTGTTCATAAAATCATCCCATCTGTTATCAAAAAGGACGGGGTGCTGTGAAACAAGGTTTATCAATCTTTCTCTCATACTGTCCTGCCTGACTGGATTTCGGACTCTCCCGGGTCTGTGCGACTATAAACAGACAATTTCATTGGCCCAGCTGTGTAGTTCTGCCGGCGAATTCTGCGGGTGCTCAAAGTCTTTTTTCACCGCACGAAAGTTTCGCCCCGATGTGCAAACTTCCATAAGAACGAATGAAATCAACTTTCATATTTTTCCGCGAGAATAATCCGCGCGGATATTCGCCCTCACCCAAGTGGCCACGATAAAAGCGAGTTGCGCTTTTCGGCGCGCTATTTGCATCCTTAACATGAGACAGTGAGCACATGAGACAGTGAGGACAGTGAGGACATAAGACAGTGAGGACAGTGAGGACATAAGATAGTGAGGACATGAGACAGTGAGGACAGTGAGGACATAAGATAGTGAGGACATGAGACAGTGAGGATATGACACAGTGAGGACAGTGAGGACATGAGACAGTGAGGATATGACACAGTGAGGACAGTGAGGACATGAGACAGTGAGGATATGACACAGTGAGGACAGTGAGGACATGAGACAGTGAGGATATGACACAGTGAGGACAGTGAGGACATGACACAGTGAGGATATGACACAGTGAGGACAGTGAGGACATGACACAGTGAGGATATGACACAGTGAGGACAGTGAGGACATGACACAGTGAGGACATGAGACAGTGAGGATATGACACAGTGAGGACATCAGGACAGTGAGGACAGTGAGTAACAGGATGTGGTCTGAAACTCTGTATGACGAAGCTTTGTGAAAACAGGTAGTGGAGACTTTTAATTTGGTAGACAACAGGAAACAGTGGTGACTCTTTTATTCTGAAGGAGCTCACATGGCCTGCAGGCTGTCTGCCGTCAGCGTGTTCCACAGGATCTCATTGGCTGGCAGGTTGTCCGTTTCATCCAACAGAGACGCATCGAACTCCACGCTCGCCTCTGGAGTCTCTGGAGACCTGGGGGGGGGGAGACACACACACACGCTGTTACTACAGTAACTATGAGCGGGACAAACTATTACCACGGTAACCACTATGTGATTGGTTTGATGTGATGTGATTTTCTGACCTGTAGGCGTCGATGAAGTGTTGGTACTCTGCCAACGGGTCGATCTGTTCCACCGCCGCCGAAATCTCCTGATGAACCTTCACAATCTCCTCCGTCAGAAGACTGCTGATCTCACAGTACTCCTCCAGGATACTCTTACTGCAGTAACACAGATATATCTACAGCACTCCTCCAGGATACTCTTACTGCAGTAACACACAGATATATCTACAGCACTCCTCCAGGATACTCTTACTGCAGTAACACACAGATATATCTACAGCACTCCTCCAGGATACTCTTACTGCAGTAACACACAGATATATCTACAGCACTCCTCCAGGATACTCTTACTGCAGTAACACACAGATATATCTACAGCACTCCTCCAGGATACTCTTACTGCAGTAACACACAGATATATCTACAGCACTCCTCCAGGATACTCTTACTGCAGTAACACACAGATATATCTACAGCACTCCTCCAGGATACTCTTACTGCAGTAACACACAGATATATCTACAGCACTCCTCCAGGATACTCTTACTGCAGTAACACACAGATATATCTACAGCACTCCTCCAGGATACTCTTACTGCAGTAACACACAGATATATCTACAGCACTCCTCCAGGATACTCTTACTGCAGTAACACACAGATATATCTACAGCACTCCTCCAGGATACTCTTACTGCAGTAACACACAGATATATCTACAGCACTCCTCCAGGATACTCTTACTGCAGTAACACACAGATATATCTACAGCACTCCTCCAGGATACTCTTACTGCAGTAACACACAGATATATCTACAGCACTCCTCCAGGATACTCTTACTGCAGTAACACACAGATATATCTACAGCACTCCTCCAGGATACTCTTACTGCAGTAACACACAGATATATCTACAGCACTCCTCCAGGATACTCTTACTGCAGTAACACACAGATATATCTACAGCACTCCTCCAGGATACTCTTACTGCAGTAACACACAGATATATCTACAGCACTCCTCCAGGATACTCTTACTGCAGTAACACACAGATATATCTACAGCACTCCTCCAGGATACTCTTACTGCAGTAACACACAGATATATCTACAGCACTCCTCCAGGATACTCTTACTGCAGTAACACACAGATATATCTACAGCACTCCTCCAGGATACTCTTACTGCAGTAACACACAGATATATCTACAGCACTCCTCCAGGATACTCTTACTGCAGTAACACAGATATATCTACAGTATACTTTGCTCTGTGGTGTGGCAGTGTTTTGGTGGTCATGTGACTCACAGTGCGAGCGTCATGTCCTCCTGCATCCTCTGCAGAGCATCGAGCAGTGCAGGTGCGGCATGGCGGCGGTGTTCGTCCTGCTGTGTGCGAGCACCGCACACTGCCAACACATACTGGTTGTGAAGGTTGTGGAGCTTAGCCGTGGCTTTGTCGTATCGCTCCCGGGCACGCTCCGCCTCCCGGCCTGTGATTGGACGGGAAACATTTGAGGAACGGATCATAAAGAAACATCAGCAGCAACATGTCACGTGTCCTGATCGCATGATGAAACATTTCATAAACCTTTAGCCAGTGCCTCTCGGTACTTCTCTTTGGCGTTGTTGGCGTCACGGCTCAGCTGACGATACGTCGCCTTCAGCTTGTCCAGGTCACTCCTGGTTACCTGGCAACAACAAAACAAAGGGACACTGTCCAGCTGCAGAACAATACCTGACACTTCAGCTCGTCCACTGTCTCCACACGCACACGCACACACCTTGTAGTTGTGGCTCTCCAGCTGCTGATGAAGACTCTGGTAGCTCTTCTTCACCTGCTGCTTGTCTCTGATCAGTGTGGCCAGGCGGTGCAGAGGACCCGAGTTCAGATCATCAGCGTGACTCCTCATGATGCGACCCAATGCCTCCGTCTGACGGACCACCTGAGACCACGACTGACGGAGACACAGAGACACTGGGTGAGACACTGAGACCAGGACGGACACTGAGACCAGTACAGACAGTGGGACAGAGACAGACAGTGGGACAGAGTAATTTCACCTTGCTCACAGTGCTGACGTAATCAGCAGCTTCCTGTTTCTCAGTTTGCTGAGTCATGCTGAGCAGCAGAGCAGCGTATTCTTTATCGCTCTTCACTCGTAGAGTCATGAAACGCTTCACCGTCTCCAGCAGCTAGAGGGCGACACAGAGACATGTTCACACAGTGTCACATGGAGGACATGAAGGACAGCAATACAACTATTCACAGATGGTACCTTACTGTGACGCTACACTAAATAGAGAGCGTCTGCGTTACATCGTATAGAACTAGAAAGCGTCTGTGTTACATCATATAGAACGAGAAAGCGTCTGCGTTACATCGTACAGAACTAGAGAGCGTCTGCATTACAATGTACAAAACTAGAGAGCGTCTGCATTCCATCGTACAGAACTAGAGAACGTCTGCATTCCATCGTACAGAACTAGAGAGCGTCTGCATTCCATCGTATACAACTAGAGAGCGTCTGCATTCCATCGTACAGAACTAGAGAGCGTCTGCATTCCATCGTACAGAACTAGAGAGCGTCTGCATTACATCGTACAGAACTAGAGAGCGTCTGCGTTACATCACATAGAACTAGAGAGCGTCTGCATTCCATCGTACAGAACTAGAGAGCGTCTGCATTACATCGTACAGAACTAGAGAGCATTTGCATTACATGTTACAGAACTACAGAGCGTCTGCATTACATCGCAGAGAACCAGAGAACATCTGCGTTACACCGTACAGAACCAAAGAGCGCCTGCGTTACATCGTACAGAACTAGAGAGCGTCTGCGTTGCATTGTATAGAACCAAAGAGCGTCTACGTTACATCGTACTGAACTACAGAGCGTCTGCGTTACGTCATACAGAACTAAAGGGCGTCTGTGTTCCATCGTCAGAACTACTGGGCGTCTGTGTTACATCATACAGAACCAAAGAGCGTCTGTGTTACATCATACAGAACTAGAGAGTGTCTGCATTACATTGTACAGAACTACAGGGTGTCCGCATTACATTGTACAGCACCAAAGAGCATCTGCGTTACATTGTAGAGAACTAGAGAATGTCTGTGTTACATCGTACAGAACTACAGAGTGTCTGCATTACATCGTACAGAACTACAGGGCGTCTGCATTACATCGTACAGAACCAAAGAGTGTCTGCATTACATCGTACAGAACTACAGGGCGTCTGCGTTACATCGTACAGAACCAAAGAGCGTCTGTGTTACATCATACAGAACTAGAGAGCGTCTGCGTTACATCATACAAAACTAGAGAACGTCTGCGTTACATCATACAGAACTAGACAGCGTCTGCGGTACATTATATAGAACTAGAGAGCAGCTGCGTTACATCGTACAGAACCAAAGAGCATCTACTTTACATCGTAGAGAACTACAGAGTGTCTGCATTACATCGTACAGAACCAAAGAGTGTCTGCGTTACATCGTACAGAACTAGAGAGCGTCTGCGTTGCATTGTATAGAACCAAAGAGCGTCTACGTTACATCGTACTGAACTACAGAGCGTCTGCGTTACGTCATACAGAACTAAAGAGCGTCTGTGTTACATCGTAAAGAACTACAGGGCGTCTGCGTTACATCGTCAGAACTACAGAGTGTCTGCATTACATCATAGAGAACTAGCGTCTGTGTTACATCGTACAGAACTAGAGAGCATCTGCGTTATATCACAGAGAACTTCAGAGCGTCTGCGTTACATCGTACTGAACTAGAGAGCGTCTGCATTACATCGTACAGAACTACAGAGCGTCTGCGTTACATTGTACAGAACTAGAGAGCGTCTGCGTTACATCGTACAGAACTAGAGAGCATCTGCGTTATATCACAGAGAACTTCAGAGCGTCTGCGTTACATCGTACTGAACTAGAGAGCGTCTGCGTTACATTGTACAGAACTAGAGAGCGTCTGCGTTACATCGTACAGAACTAGAGAGCATCTGCGTTATATCACAGAGAACTTGAGAGCGTCTGTCCAGACCAAAGTGAAATCTACATGTTCTGCAGCTGAGCAGCTAACGACCTTACTAGCCTGCTAACTGACATTAGCTTTGCAAAATGAAGTTCTTTCAGGTTTTTCAGTCTTTAGTTGTGAAGCTGCTGTCTGCTCTGCCTATGACACAACGGCTAAACCACTGCTTCATGCGAGATGTGATTGGCTGTGTAGAAACGCTGTCTCCATCTACAGAGACGGACTCAGAGCGATGTGAGTTTATTCTCTCAGAGGACACAGAAAGTGGCTCACAGTGCAGATCTGTCCCTGTACTGTACCTTTAACTCCCAGTCCTGCAGCTTCAATAATCCCTCATGGGAATTCCTCAGATCCCGACCGAACCCCATCCTGGATCACACACACAAACACACGCACACACTCTCTCTCTGTCTAACGGCGAGGGCGAGCAGGGAATGATTTCATGGTTGTCTGTGGAGACAGAACAGAGATTATTAGAGTAACACACATATTAATACATGAAGCAGCTCATAATAATCTGGACTTTAGGAAAATAAAGCTGCTCTATCTTGTCTTCAGAGCCCACTGAGAAAACCAGTGATTTAACATCAGTGACCACGGAGCTGCTGGTCTGCTGCTGCCTCCATCAGTTAGTGTGTCTGTGTTACTGTGTGACTTTGGTGTTATAAAGGGTTAATTCCTGACAATTCTCCAACTTGTTGACTGACTCCCAAACTTTCCAAACTCATCTGTTTCAATAATAAACATAGGTATAGATATAATAAATATAAGTCTGCCCAGAGAGAAGGTGAATGATTCATGATCCTGATTAAAAATACCTCTCAGATTCCTGTACAGTTCCACTCAGACATCCTCCTTCTGACCTCTGTCACAACTTACTAACACTTTTTAAACTTCTTCACAGACACGCCAGAAACATCCCCTGACCCTGAGGGACACCCAACATCTCCCACAACCCGTCTGAGTCCCGGAACCGCGTCCAAATACTGGCAGTCCGGTTCACTTTGGGTCCAAACCCACTGGAGTAAAACTGAAGCTAGGCTAACGCTAGCCGCTAGCTTCTTCTCTTTAAAAGAAATGGGAGCTGAAGCTAACAGGCTAACAGGATAACGGCTGCTGAGAGGAAGCTAACAGGCTAACAGCGGCTGATAAACTTTATCTAAACAAACAAACAAGTAAACAAACGGACAAAAACAAACCTCCGTTAATGTGTCGGTGTTTTTCTGCTCGTTTCTCCGGTGAGTAAAGAAAAGATGAAGGCAGCAGACTGAGGAGGAGGAGGAGGAGGAGCAGCGGTGGGACAGTCGGGAGGAGGTTCGCTGTTTTTCCACTTCTTCCAGCCGAACTAACACACCGGGAAACGGTCTCTGTTCGGCGGCACACTCGCTGTCCTGTCACCGCGGTCCTCTGCCGTCCTCCGCCGGACTCATTCCCTCCTCTTCTCTGGGTTTTTCTCCTCCGGTTCCCCGGATACTCCTCCGGTCGTCCGGCTGCAGGGCTAACGGCTAATGGCTAACAGGGAGGGGCTTCCGCCGGAAATGGAAAAGGGGGAAAGGGGGGGGGGTATATTTATGAGACACTGAGGGACAAACACAGAGTTAATGAGCTATAACAACAATAATAATAACAATAACCAAAATAATAATAAGACAAATGAATACATACGTAAGTATAACTCCATATATGGGTAACATACATACAGTGGTGGAAAAAAAAATTTACGGACACCCCATGCATTTGTGAAATATTGCATTAAGAATCACTCTTAGGTCTTCAAGTGCAATTTCTTTTAGTACAGTCACAGCCAAAATACTAAATAAATCCTAAAAAAAGCCATTAAAAACTTAAAATTGATTGGTTCCATAAAAATACATAAGAAATTTTGAGTATAGGGTCATTTTGGTACCAGTGATGAAGGTCGTTCTTTTTATTAAAAGACACAATTTTTGTTGCCAAGCTTCGTGTCTACATAAAGCCAGCACATTTGAACGTTCTTCAGACACAAAAATGGCTAAAACAAGGAACCTAACGCAGGAAACA